GAAAACGGTAAACCTTTTCACCGGCAGGTCTGTAAATCAGCTTCATCACTGACTTCGGTGAAATATTTTACTGAAGTTTCAGTAAACAAAGCGTTCTTTCATTGAGTTCGGTAACGGTCTCGGTAAACGTCAAATCCACCATATTGTGATTTTCGATCGACTTTGAAAACGTTCGTGTTTGTAAAAATAAAAAGGTGAAATTATGGAGGCTGTTATGCAACACCAAGATGAGCGAATCGTAGATATTTTCCGTAAGTAATTAATTTTCCTTATCTAAATAAATACCGATTACAGATGGCCGATGTTGTTGCTTGTTTTTTTTTCTGTCGGTCCAAGCTCCATGCCCGTTGACGACGATCTGAATACAGCATTTGGAATCTTCATCCACTGCTTCCCTGTTTTCAGTGTAGCGCCGAATACTTCCGACAAAAACTTATTTTTGTTCATTGGTGGAGCCATTTACCACACTAAAGCAAACCCCACACGCATCAATATATTGACGCGAAGGGGAATTATTGACAATAATATTGATAATGTGAATTCAGAAATATTGTCAATCTCGATATATTGACGTCAATATAGAATGTATTGACAATACGATTATTGTCAATAAAAGCAATCGTGTAGGGTCCACATAACACATTGATCACGACTGCAGCCAAATGTTTGCATGGGTTGCAGTGACCGCCACCTTGAAACAATATTAACCCTCCGGTACTCGCGCCAACTTTTGTAACACGAGTACTCGCGCGTTGTACTTTGTACAACACACATGAGTTTTCCATTGCCATTTTGCAGCCGAGCTACCAATCGATATGAAACCAACGGGTATTCCTTAATAAACTTGTTTTTAACTAAGCAAGTTAAACTTTTATCACAGTTAACCCCCGATAAATGCGGATAATAGAGAAAATTTGAAAGGAAGCCGCGTAAACGGTATCCGTACTACGTGGGATTTGACTTAATTGGTTACAACATGGAAAATCTCGCGATCCTGACCAGCTAGAATGTTACTGTCTTCGGCAAAGTTGTTCTAGAGATCATAACCTTTTCGCTGGTGGAGAGTAGTTAAGAATTTTCTCACTACGTAGCGCTAGAATACATGTGAAATTCTCGAATGTGATATATCTCGAGATTCTGACCAGATAGAAAGATACTGTCTTTCACAAAGTTTTTCAGGAGGTCAAAGTCTATTGCTTGGTGCTCAATAGTTCAGAATTTGCTCACTACGTGGCGCTAGTATACACGTGAAATTATCATATAAACATATCTCGAGTTCTCGACCAGATAGAAAGGTACTGTCTTCGGCATAGTTGTTCAGGAGGTCAAGGCCTTTTCGTAGGTGGACAGTAGTTCAGAGTTTTATCACTTAGCGGCGCTACTATACATGTGAAATTTTCGCATATAAAATATCTCTAGATCCTGACCAGATAGAAAGTAAATGTATTCGGCAAAGTTTTTCAGGGGGTCAAGTATTTTTGGCTGGTGGAGAGTAGTTCAGAATTTTCTCACTTAGTGGCGCTAGTATACACGTGAAATTATCACAGAAAATATCTCGAGATCTTGACCAGATAGAAAGTTACTGTCTTAGGCAAAGCTGTTCAGGAGATCATAGCCTTTTTGCTGGTTAACAGTAGTTCAGAATCTTCTCGCTAGGTAGTGCTCGTACACATGTTAAGTTTTCGCATGTGCTATATCAGTAGATCCTGACCAGATAGAGAGTAAATGTCTTTAGCAAAGTTGTTCAGGAAGTCAAGATCTTTTCGTTGGTGGACAGTTGTTCAGAATTTTCTCACTACTTGGTGCTAGTATACACATGCAATTCTCGCATATACAATAGCTCGAGATCCTGAGCAGATTGAAAGTTACTGTTTTCGGCAAACTTGTTCAGGGGGTCAAGACTTTTTGGCTGGTGGACAGTAGCCCAGAATTTTCTCACCACGTGGCACTAGTAAACGTGCACAATTCTCGCGTATGCTAAGCTCGAGATTCTGAACAGGTAGAAAATTACTGTCTTCGAAAAAGTTGTTCATGAGGTCAATGCCTATTGCTTGGTGCACAATAGTTCAGAATTTTCACACTACGTGGCGTTAGTATACACGCGAAATTCTCGCATGTAAAATATCTCGAGATGCTGATCAGATAGATTTCGCTAGTGAACAGTAGCTCAAAATTTTTTCACTACGTAGCGCTAGAATACACGTGAAATTCTCGCATGTGGCTTGTTTCGAGATCCTGACCAGATAGAAAGTTACTGTCTTCGACAAAGTTGTTAAGGAGGTCAAAGCCTTTTTGGCTGGTAAACAGTAGTTAAGAATTTTCTCACCACGTGGCGTTAGTATACATGCACACTTCTCGCATATGCTATATCTCGAAATCCTGATGAAACTGTCTACGAGAAAGTTGTTCAGGATGTCAAGGTATTTTAGCTGGTGAACAGTAGTTCAGTATTTTCTCACAAATTCTAGACTTTAGCCTCCTGAACAACTTTGTACAAGACAGTAACTTTCTATCTGGTCAGGATCTCGAGATATATCACAGGCGAGAATTTCACATTTCACTAGCGTGATAGCGTCAATTTCACTGTCCACGAGCAAAAATTTTGTGATATCCTGAACAACTTTTCCGACGACAGTAATTTTCTATCTGGTCAAGAACTTGAGATATTTTATATGCGAGAATTTCACATGTATAATAGCGCCGCGAAGTGAGAAAATTCTGAACTACTGTCCACCTATGAAAAGACCTTGACTTCCTGAACAACTATGCCGAAGACAGTACCTTTCTATCTGGTCGAGAACTCGAGATATTTTATTTGAGAATTTCACGTGTATACTAGCGTTGCGTAGTGAGCAAATTCTGAACTATTGAGCACCAAGCAAAAGGCTTTGATCTCCTGAAAAACTTTGTGAAAGACAGTAACTTTTTATCTGGTCAGAATCTCGAGATATATCACATGCGAGAATTTCACATGTATACTAGCGCTACGTAGTGAGAAAATTCTGAACTACTGTCCGCCAGCGACAAGGCTATGATCTCCTGAACAACTTTGTCCGAAGCAGTAACTTTCTATCTGGTCAGGATCTCGATATATTCCATGTTGTAAACAATTAAGTCAAATCCCACGTACAATGGTCACAGTTTACGCGGTTTCCATTCACATTTTCCCTATTATCCGCATTTTTAGGTGTTTACTGTAATCAAAGTTTAGCTTGTTTAGATCAAAACAAGTTTTTTGAGGAATACTCGTTGGTTTCAGATCGATTGGTAACTCAGCAACAAAATGGCAATGGAAAACTCATGTGTGTTGTACAAAGTACAACAGCGCGAGTAACGGAGGGTTAAAGCAAATTACAGATGAGTCGGTTACATTTAAAAAAAAAATTACAGATCTCTTGGTAATTTTCGATTTGCATATCGAAATTACAGTTCTCCGGTAAAGTCGACTACAAATCAAGCAATGCACATCGGTAAACGTTACCGATCGTTCGGTAAATTTGACATCTAATCTTGCAGATCCAGTTTACAGATTTTTCGGTAATGTTCTCGATTACCAAAACATTACCGACCGTTCAGCTGTTGCGAACTCGGTAGATGAATTACCGAAGTCGGTGATTTTTTCTAAGTGTGTAAGCTAAAAAAAAAAGATCGAATTCTCCAAAAAGTGCAAAACCCGATGGTCTCTTCAATATCGAAATGAATATAGGTAGTATGGGTTCCCTGCACCTTTCTAACTTCTAAGTAGTTTTTCATAATTTTCCATCCGATCCCTGCGATTGTAAAGACGTTGCCAGGTGTATAATGGGATGTTGTATTTTGTTATCCAAAAATCAAAAAAATATATGTGAAAATTGAGTGTCTCATTGCTAGTGTGTACAATTGGTTTAAAAAATCGTCGAGTTTGAAAAGGCACTCCAACAATCACTTATTAAATTTAACTCCGATGTTGTCCTTTTATTGTTTCTGATGTTGCTCATTATATACTCATTCAAAGTTTCATATTTGTTGGACAAATTTGCTTCGGGCATGTTTTTCTACATTATTTATTATTAAAGTGACTCCAAAACAAAAACAAAAAAACTGATGTTCGGCCACAAGACATAAAAAAATATAGTGCAAAAACAATAATTTCCAGTACATATATTACTAACGATTTGGCTCTAGGATCAGTTTCAAGAATTGACCACTTTTACCGATAACTGTACTATAGGAAATTGTGCTGCTACTACACAGGACTGCTAGAGCAACTACACATGTCCTATGAGGCAAATTCGTTAAATTCGTGAGGAAATCCATAGGACAAAGCTTTAGGGACAACTCTAAAAGCATTTTGACATGACTCCGCAACGTAAAGGTGATTCCCTGTAGTGTTCACAAATGGCCGCCACATGCACTCACTTCGAATTTTCAATTATGCAAATCTCGGCAAACGGTGCCCAATTTCACCTGAAATGTGATTTTTTTTAGATTTTGGATATCTTTTCCCAATAATTTAAAAAGAAAATTGAAACTCAATTTTTTTTTTCGGAGCGGTATGGGAGGAGGAGCAACATAAAAATAATTATAAAGCAACTCCTCAGCTATTGCAATGTAATTCCACAGGGCTTCTCAGTCATGTTCGTTAAACTGGTAGGTAAGGGAAGTTTACAAGAACAAGACTTGTGAGACTACTCAGAATTCATGGGGTTACTCCTGCTGCAACTGCATATGACTTGTGGAGCTACTGCACGTCATAAGTCCCGCAATTCAAAATGTTGAATTGTATGTGTGTCTCGAATTTTGACACTTCTATTCGCTTTTAATTATCAAATCTAAAACATACAATATTCAAGGAATTTCCCCAAATTTAGCTAAGTCCAAAATCACGCTCATTTTACCAAAATCAGGACAGTGTTTCTAATTTGTCTAATTTGAAGCTGTGAACATTTTCCATGTCCGAAATCTGAGCGGATCATTCCAGGTAAGTTAAGACAAGCATTATCACAATCACAACAACTCACTTCCGGATTCCACCACGATCACCACCGCCCCGTCGTCGTCCCGCTCGGGAAGCATCGACACGACACCCTCTTCGTACACGTGCCTCAGGGCTGCAATTGGCGCAAAATATTCCGGCTTCTTCAGTTTCTGCCTGCAGTTGGCTTCCAGAATGGTGAATGCCCTCTTCGTATCGTACAGCCCGGCTCGCAGAAAAATATTCAAGTACCAGTCGCTTTCGGCGGGCACGTTTAGATCCGGTTCCATGGCTATCATTTCTCGAAGTTCTTGCAATCCCCGAGCCAAACTTTCCGGTGATTCATTGATGTATTGGCGGGCCTTTGCTTCCAGTTCCGCACCGTGGGTACAGCGATCCTCTTGTATGTAAATATGGTACCCCGATCCGAGATCGATGTAGGGATAATTTTTCTCGTTGTACTTCAGTGCCATGGTTGTGCTCTTTGTTTCTGATCACTAGCGCGCGAAACTGTTGAAACTGTTCTTCAATACCTTGCCACGAACCGTGATCGATCAGCGATTAGATTAGAGAAGCGCTTAGAACCGTCGCAGGTGCCCGATGGCGAACAACTGATCCGTAAAGCGGACGGTTGCGCGATGGAACTTATCCATACTTCCTATTCGGTACAACTCATGTGCGTTTTTTGGCACTTTAAACGCACACCTTTTGACGAATGGCTTTAGCGGTTGTGTTTTGGAGGTTAAATGAATAATGATGATGCATTTGAAATAATCAATACTCGGGCGGTTGTTCAGTGCGAGGATGCTGGAACAATCGGAAAATGCATCAACCATGGTTAGCTTTTTGTTTGTGTCGGTAGCTGTGTATTTGTGTATATAATTTAAATCTCTTTAATGAAGAAAACTAACTAACTGTATATCATTCGATTGTATATAGCTGTTGAGGCTTTTTTTTCTGCACTCAGAATAACCTTCAATAAAAAAAGACGAGTATTCGGTTTGTCATGGTCAATCATGATCATCAATACGTTAGAGATCGGGTGCATTAGACTGGTACAATTTTGTTATAAAATTAATGTTCAAATATGTTTTGCTAAAAGTCAATAAGGACTGAAAATATCATATCTTTCCATTTAAAAAAGAAATTAATAAATAATGACCTTCAGCCAGAGGCGTAGTGCGGGGGTGGCGAAAGTGGCCCCCGCCAAAGGTGCCGAAATCCAAGATTTTACAGTGACGAACTTTTCCACAAATCCATTCAATTCGCCGGAAATCTCATGGAATTAATAAATGTAATCAAGAATTAAAAATATATTCCACTTATTTGTAAAATCTGTAAGATAGGTATAATTTTCTAAAAATCTGTAATCTATATATACATTTTGAGGAAAATCTGTATGATTACAGATAAATCTTCAGATGTGGCACCACTCCAGCCAATGTACATTATGTATGTTCACGCATCCATCCACCCCTGTAGATTCACGAAAAGCATCGCTGGTTAAATATATTTATTTAAACTTGAATCATTTCACAAAATCATCTTTGCGGTAAATGCAACGTAGTAGGCCTCCCTAATACAAATGTTAAGGTTAATTTGCTTAACGACATGTTCAGGGTATCATCCAAAACATTTGTGGAATAGTTGGATTATTTGGGTTATCGTTCGTTATGGTAATTTTTTGTTAGGGCTGGCCGTTTTGATGTTTGTTTCATATCTCAGATGTTGCCTTAAGGTCCGTTTAGACTATCTGATTTGTTGGTCTGATTCGAGCTGACTGCTCGAAAATGTTGTCGAATGCAATGTTTAAGGTACGTTTAGACTATCTGATTTGTTGGTCTGATTCGAGCGGACTGCTCGATAATTTTGTCGGATGCAATGTTCGAATGCGTTAATACTTTTTCGATATGATGATCAGATTTGACGTTCGATTTGTCGAACGTAATAGGTTTGAGGTTAATTTTTATTTGACTCGTTCAGCAAAATAGCCGCAAGTGAAATAAAAATATTGATTTTCTTCTTCTAAAATTTCAATGGTTTTGAAATCGCAACCTCATAAAAAGACCACAATCACACAATATTTTAGAAAATCTAATTCTCTTGACGTTGTGTACGCTAGAATGGCCTCGAAAGTAGAGGGTCCAATTTCACGGGTCTAAAAAAATCCCGGGATTCGGGATTTTTTTTTTTAATCCAGGGAAATTCCGGGATCCCGGGAAATTTTGATATGCTTTAAAAAAAAACATTATTTTCCAAAAATTAACGCTTTTATTCAAGTTTAAAACTTAACAATGAGTAAATGAATGAATGAATATAGACTCAAACATGTTATAATCAGTTGTTCCTCTTAAAATAAGATTTCAAGAAGCAAAGTTCATGGACACTTGCATCTGACAGTGATGATCTCCTTTTGGAACAGATGTTCGCCGAATCCGAAAAAGCTCTCTCGCTATCCGTTGAAGTTGGCTTGATGGATTTGAGAGCAGTTAACAAGATTTTCAGAACAGCTTTTAAGTCTCCGGTCAACTCGTCCTTTAAAGATTGATGTTGGTTCTTACTCGTGTCATCCACCGTTGCTTCATGTTGGTCGTCGAAAGTACATGTGAAAAAACGAGTACATTTTTCTTTGACGAACTTGAACAGCTGGTTGCGTGAAATCACAGGTAACTCAACAGATGATGTTGAGGCAATGCTGTTCTGAAGAAATTTTAGAAGTGAAACCAATTTGATGTTTCGTCTCTCATTGATTCTCTTCAGAACCGCCTCGTAGAGTTTCGTTGAAATAGGGTTGCCCATACTCTTAAGTTTTGATAACAAAAAGCTCAGACTACCTTCCGCCGTCAACAACGTAGCATCTCGACGTCCTAAGGCTTCCGAAACGAGTCGTATTGGCTGCAAAGCTTCAAATAAAATCTTCACTGGATACAAAGGAACTTTCTCCCAACTCTTCCAGTGCTTCCTCTACACAATCATGTAATTTGATATACCGCTCCAGCATTTTTTCGGTGCTATTCCATCTGGCAAAAGCTGAAGAGGTTTCTTGAATCTTCCAACAACTTTATTTTGCAGCACCGAGTTTTTCACCGGTGAATGACGAAACATCCGAACTACATTTCGGATCTGCTTAAGAGTTTTTTCCAAATGTGTTGGTATTGTAGCAATCTGAAAAATAAATGACAAGATAATGATAGAAAAATAGTAATATGAAAAACAAATAACAGAAGTTCATAGCGTACCGGATGAATAGAACTTTTCGTTATGAGAATAATCGTGTCAGTCTTCGTTGTCACTATCTTCGTCATCAAAATCTTGAATTTCAGAAGAAGAATGTTCTTCACTTGCCGTGGACTCGAATTCGTTGGAGTTCATTTGATTGATGACGTCTTGTACGGCAAGGTGCAATGCGTGGTTGTAGCATAGCTGGTGGAAATATGGCACGATTTTCCCAAATTTTACCATTACCGGAGCTGCATCAGATGTTACGGCCGTTATAGAGCCAATGTCATTGCCGAAGTCCTTGGTAACTTGTTCGATAGCATGGGCAATCTTTTCTGCAGGGAAAGATCCGTGAATCCGAGACAATCCTAGGTTGTAACTGTGTGGGTGCAAAGAGCGCCCAATGCTTCTCTAAGCAATCCCCACCGAAAACGCAAGCCAGGACACACTGGAACACACCAGTAACGCCGAACGGATCGACTGTATGGAGAAAATACTCGCGGGTATAAATGACACCCTGAGCCGTTTTCAGTCAAATTCTGGACCGACGATGACTGGAAATGCTGATGACAGCTGGAACCTCTCTAGTGAAGTAAACGCTTGTGCAAGTGTCGGTAGAAGTTCATCCTCCAGCATTCGCTGGGACCACATGAAACCATTCCCAAGTGGCATCGCCGCCAGTAAAATGTGGGAGGAATGGAATCGTTACTTAGAAAACTTCGAGATAGGTGCTTCGTTCAGTAAAGTTAATATTCCAATTAAGAGGACTCCATTACTCTTCCTCTCCATGGGCGACGAACTGCAAGGAATCGTGAAAGCCGCAAAGCTTCACCCAAGCTTGACAAACCTGCTACCGAGTCTTCGTTACGAACATCGAAACCTACCTACGGTCGATGACGGACACGGCAGCAGAGCACGAGGCTTTTTCTAGAATGAAGCAGGAAAACGGTGAATCAGCGGTCGCTTTTCACGCCGGGTTAATGTGTAAAGCACGGTCGTGCAACTACAGCGTTGACGACGAGGACAGATTCGTGCGTGCACAGTTATTAAGTGGACTGAGGAACAGAGAACTCGTGAAACAGGGAAGGATCTATGACCATGAAACGAATTTTATCGTATAATCCGCTACGAGGGATGAGGCTTTCGAATCCGAGATGCGTCAACAGGACGACCCAAGTATTTTCGAAGTTAGGAGAGCATATCGGCCATCATCATCCTCGTACAACTCCAACGATCACAAGCGTCCAAATGTAGCCAATCGCGAGAATGGACCACCGACTAAACAGCATCGCAAAAACGATGTACTACCATAGAGGTGTTGGTACTACACTCTAAACTAATTTTTAGTGACGACTTTCACTGATATGTGTGGGTGTAATTCAGCACTATCGCAGGGACTCGTAGTCAGCCATGATGAGCGTTGCGAGGACAACGAACTGGACACTGCATTCTCGTGTCATTCAATTACCAACCACCGTGGAGGTAATCCGTGCAAAGATTCCGGCAGATTCCTTTCCAGCTGATGGTCAATCATTCACAGTTTTCAATCCGGCTCCTGAAATAGCGTTGTACTAATTTAGTTCCATGTACATTGGAGTAACTTAATTAATGGATAGTTCATAATAAGGAAACTTAACCTTTAGTTAATGCAACAAATATTAGCTTATTCTTTTTTATGAGTGAAGGGGAGATATGTGTGGGTGCAAAGAGCGCCCAATGCTTCTCTGTGCAGTGTGCTGAACATTCAGCACTATAGCAGGAACTCGTAGTAAGCCATGATGAGCGTTGCGAGGACAACGAACTAGACACTGCATTTTCCTCTCTCAATCATCAACCATCGTGGAGGTAAGACGTTCAGCGATATCGGGCAGATTCCTTTCCGGCTGATGGTCCGTTATCCACAGTAACATGAACCATCTGCGAAATGAACGTTAATGTTCAAGTATCGCTTGTTAGCAGAACTGGTCCACTCATCTGTTGTAAGACTGACGAGCTCCTTTTTTTCAACGATCCTGTCGTGAAATTCCTTCTCTGGTCTGATTTTTAATTTCATCGTAGAACTCATGGATGAGTTTGATTATCGTGGATTTGGATGTTGGCAGTTTAAATCCTCTAGCTGACACTGACTCTCGAATAAACATGCTCTTCGTAATGGCAGCAATCGATATCCCGTCCAATGCAGCTAGACGTGCAACAATCTCGCGAAGTGAACTTCGTTTCAGAAACGGATCCAACGACGATTGCTTCACGGTTGAATTAACGGACAACTTGGGCTGCTTCGCCGGTACCGGAGTTGGTTCTGCACTTGGCAAATTGTGCTTATTT